TGTACTTTCCTTATAAACTTCAGTTCGAGGCCGGGGACCTCACAATTCTACCCGGGGTACTGACAGCATCAGCCAGCTTAGCTTACAGGCTTGCCCCTGCGGAAGAGTCCCTAACTACGACTTTCCAGAAACCTACTCCAATCTTCTTAACACTCTTAAAATTCGAAAACTTGTGGTAAATAAAAGCACGACTCGATAAATAACACTACCGTACGCCTGTTAGGCCATACTACTGCAACACCTTTGCTATCTTCTGAGCTAATCCTAGTACCTACTTCTGGGACTAGCACGGCCCAGAGGATAGAATCCTGGTCCTACAGACACTCTCCTGACGGCCCACTGCGGCCCTATAAGCACCGTGTGTCCTGGTGCTTAGGACACCCTACAGGACTCTCCCAATAAGACTGGGACAGATCTTACGGAGGTACTTCGAAATTCCTACAGATGGTGATACCACAGATCATTCCTGGAGCTTGGTCTCCTCCCTGTCTGATGACCATGGGGAGAGGACCAGGCCTCTGTCACGATGCACTGCTGCAAGCTTGAAGTTCTTTGCCCACGTGCGCATGAACCAACGGAGTTGACGGTGGTTTCCTTGGCCTGCTTTGGCTTTCCTTCTCCAGTTGACACGAATCGCCTGCCTCAGTCCTCTTTTGATGTGGGTTTTGATCTCAAGGTCAGACAGGGGCCTCTTCTGGAACCTCGCCCTGTTTCTGTCTGCCCAGATCACTTCGCAGATCAGACCTCTCGTGGCCTGTGCCATATAACCCCAACCACGACTGGCTCCCACTTCTGAAGGTAGAAAGCCCAGTAGAACCCATTTCTCATCCCATGTTACCCCTGTTCCTCCCAACTCCCTCCAGTGGTGTGACCACCAGTTCCATATCCTTTTGGACGCTGGACAGTCCCACCACAGATGGTGGGCGGATTCGAAAGGCCACCTGCATCTCGAGCATCCGAGATCCACCTCCATTCCTCTGCCCCTCAGCAAGACTGCAGAAGGGGTGCTCAGCAGTGACAGTAGCCAGAGAATACTTACCTGCTTATCATTAGGTAGATCAGTCAGGGACTTCCATAGTCTTTCAAAGTTTGCGGCCTCCCCCGACATGTCCTCATGACATATCGCTTGCCATCGTTGAGTGGCGATCAGCGCCGGGGTCTTCATAACTTTGGCAGCGAGCTGGTAACCCCGCGCGGTGGAATACTCCAGCAGCCTCACTGGAGGGGATTCCGTGACTCCGGGTGACCAGCTCCAGGCCTGCGGGTCTATGGGCAGCTGCCTGAGTGGAGCCCGACCTACCCAAGACTGGGTGTGAACTATTGAACTTTCACTGCGCCCTCCAATTACCCTCACCTGCGGCGGGTTGTCCCAGGTCCTGACAGTTGTCTCGTCCACCAGGGATAGGGAGTTCGAGTAATCCACACACCTCCACCTTTCCACCCTTCTGAAAGCACTGGGGAGGATCTCCAGTACTTTCCAAGTTATGTCATCTCCCTCTGTTCCTGATTTGTACCAGGTGCCAGGCGGGTCCACCCCTTCTGGGCCAAGCAGTTCCAACCACCTCTGTGGTATGGCTGCTATGACCTGTTGCCGGTGTTGTTCTACGCGTTGCAGTCCTCTCAATGCGAGCTTCACCTCCCCTAGTGTTTTCCAGCTTCCCAACCCGGAGCACCAGATATCCTCTATTCTCACCACCCCTCTCTTCACCCAGGCCTGGCCAAATGAGCCTGCTGAACCGTCCGCAGCCAGGGGGACACCAGTCTGATCTAGGATTGCAGGGTTCTCGAACAGCAGTTGACAGAGGACCTCCTCCTTTGTGGTGGGGGTATGCGGCATATCTGCGGGCGACTTGTTCCATGCCTTCCGGACTGGCTCCCAAAATGCTGACTTCAGGCGTTTCTTTCTGAATGATGGCATGAAGAAACAAGCCCACACATCTTGGGGGCGACTCAGACCCCATTCCCCGCCTAATATGCGTTCTGCTAGTGTGACCCAGTGCTCTCGGGAGTGCGCCATGGCCACCTTCACGATCCAGCATCTGAGTTGGGCCTGTTTTTTCCGGGCTGGGTCTATTAGTCCCAGTCCATCTTTCTCCCGTGGGAATGACAGGGTCTCCAATGCAACCTTGGAGATGAACCCCTCTCCGTTCTGCGCCCTTGGCTTCCAGAGGAAGCGGGAGATCAGCCTCCTTATGGCTTTCACAATACCCTCCGCCAGTTCCTTGACCGATGTTACAAACTACAGGATGGAGAACAGGGCTGCGTTGATCACCAGCGCGCGGCCCATGATAGATAGGTGCCAAGCGGACCCCCAGACCTGGAGTCTAGCTGCGATCCGCTGTTGCAAGAGGACCCCTTGTCCTGATGAATTGATCTGCAAACTGATAAGGACCCCCAAGAATCTCTCTTCTTCACCTTCAGCAATCCTCTTCATTCTCCAACCGACCTGTAGAACAAATTGGGATGGCAACAGGTAGGCTGATTTACTCCAGTTCACTGTGGCTTCCGAAAGAACTGAGTACTCACACATCACAGACTTGAGTGCGCTGAGCGAAGTGACCGAGTTTTCGCAGACTGCGAACAGGTCATCCGCCAATGCCTTGACTTTACACTCTTCACCGGTGTGGAGTTGCAGACCCCTGATGTCTGGGTTGTGCTGAATCCTGTTCAGCAATACTTCCATCTGAAGTACAAAGATGAGGGGCGCAAGTGGGCAGCCTTGCCGTAATGAACGTGACAGGGTGAATGACTCCGAGAGATGATCATTGATCATTACCGCAGAAGTTGAGTAGGTGTACATGGCAATAATCCAGGAACAGAAACTGTTTCCGAAGCCCATTCTCCGCAGGGTGGTAAGGACGAATGTCCAACCCACCTTGTCATATGCTTTCTCCAAGTCTAGTAGGAGAACTGCAGTGTCTAGGTTCTCCCCCTGAACGATCTCCAACGACTCCATAGCTGTAACAATGTTGTTAAAGATAGACCGCCCTTGCACAAAAGCTCCCTGATCCCTTTCGACCAACCCCGGTAAGTACCTCCCTAATCTCCGGGCTAACGATTTGGCTAGGATTTTATAGGAAACGTTCAGAAGTGAAATCGGTCTCCAGTTCCTCACATCTGCTTTGTACCCTTTCTTGAATAGTACTGCAATCACTCCGTGTGTCATTCCCCTTCCTAGTCTACCCCCGACAAGGACCTCATTGTATAGCTCTACCAGCAACGGCCCAAAGATGTCCCAGTTAGCGACGTAAAACTCTACTGTGAGACCATCCACCCCTGGGGACTTACCCTTTGCCATTGACTTCAGGGTTTGGGATACCTCCTCCAAGGTGAGGGGCCTGTCCAAGTCCAGCCTAGCCCCATCTTGCAGTGGGACTTCTGTGTCGTTCCACATGTCTGACTTCTGAGACAGGTCTGTGTTCAAGTCTTCCTGCGGACGTCTGGAGGTAAGAATGTCGGAGTAGTACATCCTTGCATAGTTGAGCATGCCGGTAGCTGAGCCTGCAGAGGGGGGCGAAGAATCGAATGGGTGCTTGAGTTCTATCATCTGCTGCTGTGTTCTTCTCGGCTGCAGTTTCTGAAAGGTTTCCTTGGACAGTGTGTCGTTCGTTTCTATCCCCTTTTCTTGCAGAAGCTCCACCCATCTCTTTTGTTTCACAGCCTGTAAACTGTCCCATTCTGACATCCGTCTCTCCTTTTCTGCCGCCCACACCACTGCTGAGATCGGATGCCCCTCCATCCTTTCTTCCGCTTCCTCCACCCGCCTTCTGCAGTCCGCTTCTTTTTTGTTCCTAGCCCTTGCCAGGATCCTGGAACACACATCAAGTATACCGGAAGTGATCGCAATACCTCCGTCCAGCCAGGCTGCGGAGGTTTCAAACAGCAGTTTGGCCTCCACCCAGGCTGCCATGTGCGTTTCGACCCACCTCTTGATCCCTGGCTCCTCCAAGACTTGGCTGTTAAGCCTGAAGAAGCCCCTTCCTCTTTCCAGGCCTGTGTGCAGCTTGAGCTCCGCGAGAACCGGCTCGTGGTCTGAAATCGGACTGCAGATTTGCCTTACCGTTGTAATCCTTTCTGCTACTTGTTCACTCAGGAGGAAGAAGTCCCGGCGGAGACTTGTTACCACCTGTCTGTCCCTATGCATGTGTGAAAACCAGGTGTAATCCGGGTCGTCCGGGTTCAGAATTGGAAAGGGGTCTGCGAGGGCCAACTCTGCACTGAGCTCCAGGAGAGCCTGTACATCCTTCCTGTCTGCAGAGTGAGAACCCAGTCGGAGTGCTTCGTCCAGCGACACGTTCCAGTCGCCTGCCAGCACCAGCTTGTCGGACTTGGGGATCTGCGTCAGCAGTCTTTGGAAGAAACTTGCTCTCTCCCCCACTTCATTTGGGGAATATACTGTCATGAAAACCCATTCCTCCGTCCCGATCCCAACTTTCATCCAGGCCCGCCTGCCCCACAAATCCACCTCCGAGTCAATTACCAGGGCCTGGAGGTCCCTGTGGAGCAGAATACCCACTCCTCCACGCGTACCCTAGGCCGGGGCCCAAACTTGTGGTCCTTCCCACCATAGAGCTAATTCCCGCAGTTTGTCGTCGTTCAATTTAAACTCTTGCACCATTACACAGTTAATTCTCTTCTCATGCAGCCAACTTTTGAACCGCCTCTTCTTCGATCTCCCGTTAGCGTCCCCCAGTCCTTGGATGTTCCATGTTGCTACTCTAATTCTGTCCATTGACTTGTACTGCTTCCGCTTGTAATCGCGGGAAACTGACTGCTGTTGGCCGTGGCTCGAAGCAGGTGCACTGTTACGCCCGGCGCCGCTCCTGTCTGTGTGTCTTGATTTGGCCTGGGCGCTGCACCTGGACGAACCGGTTCTAGAAGAGGAACGCCACTCTTCTACCAGGCTAGTATTTAGGAAGGCAGAGTGCAGATCCTCCTCCCTTGGTAGATTGTCATTCACATTGGGTAACACTAACGCTGAGATGCCTGGAAGAACTTGAATGGATTCCAGCTCTGCAGAATTCCGCTCCCTTATCAGATCGGTGGGAAACCATCTGATACCTGACTGCGCCAGGGGACTGACTGCTTCTTCAGGTATGCGGGCGTCCATAAGGGGGAAGTACATCTTGGAGTACCCCTGGACTGTTTCACAAACCACATTAACCATTGAGGAGTGCGGGATGAGGCGCACTGGCACATGTTCCCCGTACAACTTCCTCGTTGTGTCCAGAATCGTGTTCGGAGTTGGTGTCTTGTCAACCTCCATGGATGGAATCAGCGGTCTTCCCCCAACATCTGAGACAGCCAAGAAATAGGTGCCCTCATTTGCTCTTGTGCATAGGATGGGGATTAGGCATCGCTGCACTGTCTCCATTTGATTCTTCTCCAGTGCCTTTGTCCGATTGTCCTTGTTCCCTCTCTGTTTACCTTCAGTTTCACGATCGGTCAGGTTCCTCCTTCCGGACTCAGCTGAGCTCTCCAACGATGATGTCGTGGCTGCTGGGCGTGCTGCTGCAGATCTTCTATCTTCTTCGCTACATTCACTACCCCACCGGACTTTCGACCGAGATGTCACTGATGTTTTTGACAGCTCTTCCTGGATGTCTTCTGTGCGCCCGTGCAGCGTGCTGTGGACTCTGCCTCGAGCTGCCTCTTCCTCCCTGACACCCTCTGCATGGTCCGGTGACTGTTGGCGGCAGTCATGCGTACAGCCCTCTCTGCGGTCCCGGCTTTCTCCCTTCCATGTGTCCCACCTCCTGCTGTTGGTTCTCCTCGTTCTTCTATTCAGGTTGAAATTCCCTCCTTTTTCCCAACGAGACGGGTCCCCGGAAGCGGATCCTTTGCCCTGTGGCATATTCCTCCAGTCGTACACTCCCATTGGGTACCGAGGTTGTGGGTGAAAAACCAAATTGGGCCGGTCCTGCAGAGGAAGTTCCCCGAAGCTTGGGTGCTGGTACACGTTGACGTCCCCCCCTGTCTGGTAATGATCGTGCCACTGCAGGGGAGAGGCAGCATGGGCCGCACGGGCCGTGCCTCCCCCTGAGAACCCACCCATGCCTCTGTTGCCTGTCTGCCACTCTTCCTTGGGGCCCCAAGGGGTCATCAGGGACTGCCCATTTCGGGGAACCTGACTTCCTTCCCATCCATGCCCGCCACCTGGGGGCCCCCTGCTCTGAAACCAGGGGCCCTGTGGCTGTAATGCTCCAGGTCCTGCAAGGTAGCTTGGACCAGGCCCACCCAACTCGGGCACCTGAGCTGGTAAGTTTGGCATTCCATACGGCATTGAGCATCGCACCTCGTGGCCTTGGCCTGTCGACCCCTCATACCAGGCCTGAGCCTGCTCCGCCTGTCCTCTCGGGCCCAGCGTCTCCTGGCCCTGACTGGGTCTGACCTGCTGTTGTACATGTGCCTGTTCATCTGTGTGTGTCTCTCTTCTCTCCGCTGTGTCCTCTTGATTGGGCCTCACCTGATTCATCAGATGTTGACGGAACCGAGCCTTGTGGCCTCCCTGTCTCTCCCCATTATGCCTCCTCCCTTCTCCGTTTTGATTGAACCTGGGGCAGCATTCTTCCGTGTGGTAATATTGCTTGCAGCGCCGGCACCAGTCCGAGTATGGGGATACAATATCCACCTTCCATCTTACCCCTTTAGGGGATTGAATGACCAACTCGTCTTCAATACTGCCACACGCCTCGAGTGGCATATCAAACTTGACGTTCATCAACCTTGGGCGATCACTGTCGTACTCCGGCGAGTGGACTGAGATTACTTCACCAACATGCTCTTCACTGCACTGAGTAAGAAATAGTAGGCCTCTAGAGGCACCCTCAGGGCCATGATCCAGAACTTCGTCTCAGCTTCCTGGATCTTCACATCTTGCAGTTCCTGCCTGGATAGCCTCGGTCTGAATTGGACGAGGTACTCGTCTTTCCCCAGTGTTATCTTCATTTCTCTCTGTTGCACCAGCCAATCGGCTCTCTCTTTCGCCTTTGCTACGTAGGAGGCCACATTTGGGCCTTCGAACTTCACTCTGCCTCTTCTGGCCCCTGGTTGAAACAGTCTCCTCGCCGTCCATCCATCCTCATAGGCTCTAATCAGGTCTTCTTTCACTGAACGGGCCAGTTTCCTTGCTTCCCCCTGGAATATTACTACAACAGACCTTTCTTTTAACCATTGTTCCTTCACCTCATCTACTGCTTCATCCACTACGAATCTTCTCCCTTCCTCATCCTCTACCACTATGCCCAAGTTTAAGTCGTCCGGGCAGACTCCATCATAGCAGCGGCCTACTGAGTCCCTTACTCTCGACAGGTTCCCCTCCATCATTTGTCTAATACCTGCTTCGAGACTTAGTGCGGTGTCGTATGCTCAGCGACCCCGTTGGGCCACCTATAGTCTAAGTCCTGATATGAGACAGCTGCTTCCCCCAGTGATCAACTCTTCGCACGATAGGACAGAGTTACCCTGGTGCCTGGGAGATAGCTTTTCCACCGAACGCACAGGGCAGGGTTCCTCAACTCCCTGCCAGGCACTGGACTGGTTTGTACTAAATTCCTGTCCCCGGCCACTCTACTTTGTCTACCCAGCGATCCCTGGCCCCTTTCTGTGCTTCTGCTGGCTCCTCCTTCCCGGAATATTCGAGTGGGTTCAGTCCAATTGTCTTCTTTTGATATTACCCGCCGCCTGCGTGGCTCAATCCTCTTAATCCCGAGGGGCTTTCCTACATCTGGCTCCTGGGCAAATTAACTCTTCACCGGCATGCAACTTATACCCCTACATCTGTAATGGAGCACCCCCCCCGACGTAACACACCCAATGCGTGATTCACCAGGCATTAAACAACTCCCCCTGCCTTGTTGGTGTGTCCCCGTGTGCTCTTGGGTGTATCTAGACCCGGTGCGAACTCTGACCACGGACGCTTACTAGTATTCCGAGAGTTTTTCCCTCCACCTCTAGTGCTCCAGTTCTCGAACGGATGACGGGCCGATTGCACTATCCTCTGGTGCTTTGACGAGGTAGACCCGCTGTAGCTTCTACCCCGGTCCCGGCATCAACTTGAGGCGGTTCCCTGTCGCACTTGTGAATCCGTCCCCGGAAATCTATGTTTTTGACAATTAGAATACACACCGACTGATTACTGTATTTAACCCACACGTGACCTCCCTTGTTCCTGCCCAGTTTTCGAGTTATATACTCCCTCGCGTCCAGATCGAGATTTGAGCCTAATCCCCGGGCGAACGCCCACCTCCCTCGGCTGTATATGGCTGACCCCTGATTATTCCTTCCCTCGCTGTAGTGCTAGTGGAAGGAAGTTCGGTTCCGATTGCTCTAACACTGAGCTTCCACTACCCTTCCGCCCTGGTAACGCCCACCCCCTCCACGATTTACCATTTACTCCATGATTAGGTTATACTCTCCGGGAATTAATACTCTTAGATAGAAGTATCTTTTTAGCGGGAGAACACCTCTCTCGCCCCCCAAAAGGACCGGATCTTCCCGTGTCTCCGTGCAACGACGAGCGGACAACTTACTTCAATCCTACAAGTCGGCCTTTTTGTTGGTAAAACTTGGTTCCAGATTTGACCGGATATGGCGTTACCACCTAATGAGAGTTACATCGCGAGGGCCAGATCTCACCTCTTCCCTTGTTTGATTCCTGCCTGGCCGCCCTTCTCCCCTTTTTGGCCAAACGAGCTGCGAGCTGGAATTGCCCTCCCCTAGTCGGGATTATCGCCTTGATACACCAAGAGTCCAATAGGTCCGGGTGAGCGGACAGCACATGCTCTCAGAGCCTCTTTCGCGATGTAAGGGGAAGGGAGTCCCCCCTGTCACACCCCGACGCAATTAACGCCAGGCCCAGCCAGCCACCTGCTACATCCTTACCCGTTCCTTTCGAAATAGTGGACCAAGACTTCCGGATATGGCGGCGGATCCGACTCTGAAGCCTCACGGGGCTTTCGGACCGAAGAGTAGGGCTTCTACTGTAGAACCAGGTGCAGATACACAACCAGATCCCTCCCAGACCTTCACTTCAGTGGACAAACGAATTTTGTTTAGAGTTTACTAATCCCCCTAGACAGGATTATCGCCACGATACACACCAAGTCCGGGAAGCCCGGGTGAGCATTCCCTCTAGGCTCTCTGTACCCTTTTCGTTGTACATGGGGTAGGGAACCTCCCTGACTCTCCCCGTCAGTGCTAGTGCCGGACCTCGTCAGTCCCCTCTTCGAACAAAACTTCTTCCTTTCGAAACAGCGGTCCGATACTTCCGGATATGGCGGCGAGAACGACTCTGAAGCCCCGCGGGCTTTGAGAACGAAACCGGGGCCGACCCTGACTGCAAAGGAAAACTCACCGTGTCCCGATAATTACCACTTACCATAGCTCAAGTTACCCTAAACCTAACTGGACTACCAGGGAGAGACTTCCTGCATTGCGGGCGATACCCCACTCTCGATGAGAGAGAGAGCAGGGTCTCCTCCGTGCCTCGTCGCGGTGGCGAGGTGAACGGCCGGTAGCACCTTGCGCGCTACCCGCGCTCGGTGACAGCGTTAACGGAGCGCTATGCTAGTCGCCTGGTAACGCTGCTCCCCCCCCTCGAAACTTTCGTTTGGTATTCTATTGTATGTCATGTTTATTGAATTATGATAACATAAAAAATGAATTTCATATCATGCATATATAAATATTAATACCTCTGAAAGCTCCACAGCTTGTCCCTGTCTCTTATACACATCTAGATGTGTATAAGAGCTGTTTTCTGCACTATCCGTAAGGAAGGCTTACTGGGCCTGCGGGTCTAGCTCAGTTGGTAAGGCATAAAAGTTGATAAAAAAAAAAAGAAAAAAAAAAGGCACAAAAGTTGCATTGAGAAGGTCGCGGGTTCAATCCCCATTGCCCTCACCCACCTACATGCCTGGGCATTCTTGGTGTCCTACCCACTGAAGATAACCTGTTGGCCCCCCAAGCCAGCATTGGTTGCTATGCAGCAACAATATTGGCCTGTGACTCTGTGGTTAGGGCACCATTTGGCAATGGGCATTGTGGTCTCCACTTTTTTATTCAGTCTTTTAGGAACTTTTTTTGTTCGTTCAATGGGCCTTGTAGTTCAAAACTCCGCACATCTGCGCAGAAGGCACCAGCGGGCGTTTACATAAAGCATGGCCACTTGCATACCCCCTTGGGCTGATGCAGGTACGCCGCTATTACAGATACTGCCTGTGCACCGCCCAAGGGATCGTCCATGGTGTTGTATGTTGGGTCATCGTCCACAGTGTTGGATGTTGGGTCTTGACGAGGCACGCATGGTCCCTTGCATAACCCCTTGGGCTGACACAGGTAAGCTATCGTCTTCCCCGGAACATAATGCACCCTGATAATGAATGTTTCAAAGCTATATTTCCGGTCAGATACAGCCAAAATAAGGGTGCGTTGTGTTCGGGGGAAACGGTAGTACAGACACTGCCTGTGCACCACGCAAGGGATCGTCCATGGTGTTGTATGTTGGGGTGGTCTTGACGCCACGGGGGTTCCGTGCCACTGTTGATCTTGGGTGTTCTGTTGATCTCCCCACTCTGGCATATCTTACATACGTACCACTTGTGACTGTTACACACATGGTAGAGTCTTCCGGTCACATGCTATAGATTATTATGGGTTTGAGTCTGGCTAGGGATTTTGGGGGGGGTCTTGTCCAATTTGGCCCGTCATCCGTTCACACACCGTAACACATGGCCCACTGGACGCAATACACAGTTTACACAGACATAGTTTCCTCTGCATAGTACTGCACGTATCCGGCCTCTGGGCACACGCATCTCGCTACGCAGCATGCTGCCTACGGGCATCTCCACATTACTATTCACAGCCGACGGGCCCTCACACAGCCTACGGGCGCATCTGCACACCACTATACTATTACGTCGTCTGGGGGAATCTGGTCGCCTAGCGGGGTCTAGCACGTGTTTCAGAGGGAGCAGGTATAGGTAGAGGATAGGGTGCCATTGGCTGTGGTTCCTGCTGGTGCTGGAATAGAACCGCTCGATTGTGTCAGGGAGTCCGCTCGTGCTTGGCTCGGACTCCAGGGTCGGACTCCAGGGTAGGGTAGGGATATAAGTCGCGCCGGCTCGTTCCGCCTAGCCTTGGGCAAGTTAGGGGAAGGACGGCAGGATGTGTCCGTGGGCGCCGACCTGCCTTGCCTAGGTGCTTGTGCCAACTTCTGGGAAAGACTGCTCTGTCTACTGGGGCTTGTTGAAGACTGCTTGAGCCTGGCGTCTGAAGTTCCCGATACGACAAGGTTCCTGCGCTTCCGTGTCCACTATCGGTAGGGCTGGGTACTACCCAGCCTTGGTGCCTGTCACTGCTATTCGGTCCAAGATACCCTCGATACTGGCAGGGTGATGGTCCTGAGTGCTGGTCACACTGAGGTAGGATAGTAGGGATAGGGGCTGCGCTAGGAGTAATGATGCGAGGATAGGGTTGGAAGTTAGCCTCACCTAGTCAGGACAACCATCGGCTGCTCGCTGCCAGCAATCACCGTGTGTCTGGTCCTTGGCCTCGACAACACCCTGGTGGGATACACAGTAGAGGTAATGGTCCTGAGTGCTGGTCACACTGAGGTAGGATAGTGGGGATAGGGGCTGCGCTAGGAGTAATGATGCGAGGATAGGGTTGGAAGTTAGCCTTACCTAGTCAGGACAACCATCGGCTGCTCGCTGCCAGCAATCATAGGGTTGGAAGTTAGCCTTACCTAGTCAGGACAACCATCGGCTGCTCGCTGCCAGCAATCACCGTGTGTCTGGTCCTTGGCCTCGACAACACCGTGGTTCCCCTATTTCTAGCTGCTTTAGACGACCAGTACGTTTTCCAGCCATTTTTCTCCCATGCTGCATGCATGCGACCGGAAGTTTCGGGAAGTCGGGCCTGCCGGGATATGTATCACGCGCCTACTGACGTTGTAATTTGTTCCTCGACAGTAAAACTCCAAATTACATTGTTTTTAGAACTTTTTACGATTTCCCGGGGCCATGTCCCACTTGCACCGTTGAGTTGAGCTAGCTCAACGGTGCGACACGGTTTTCGTGATTAAAAAACTATTTTCTCGCATTTTTTGTCAATTCCATAAAGACCTTTTCGTCAATTTTTTGTATTCTGTGAATTTATTGAAAAAATAAAAGAACTAAAGGCGAAATCGTTATCATTACTCCCTGTGCCCGAATCTGCGGACCTGACAGATTCGGCATTCTGAGGCCGTGGCACTATGAAGTACGTACGACGTCCAATTTTTTTTTCGTGTCAATGTGGGCCTTGCTGCACTACTCTTGAAATGCACAAAAGACAAAAATCATGTGGCTGTATCTTTCCATGTTCTAGCAGAAGATTCACTCTCGTTTTGCACCTTTAAAATATCATCTTCCCCTGTTGTAATAATCATTACCATCATCAAAACAACCATCATCATCATCACCATCATCATCATCATCGTCGTCGTTATCACCATCTTCGTGATCGTATTATTCCGCCATACTTTTGTGTCACGACAATATAACACAACTTTGTGACAGGTAATAATCGATTATGACCGGTGAGGCCAGATCCATTCAGAGATAGATGAATATTCCGCAATACTTTTGTGTCACGACAATATAACACAACTTTGTGAACATTCAGAGAAAGATGAAGCCGAAAAAAAAAAGAAAAAAAAAAAGAAAACAATCCATGTGCTATGACATCTGCGCAGTCATCGTATACCCGACTGAGAGCTACTTCAACATTCCTTGCGCCTGCATGCACACATGCATAAAAAACTGTGCGGTACTTGAAGAGCTGTCAGTGGACGGCCTCATGACGTGGCTGAAGAGAAAGAGAAAACAGGCACACTGACACACACACACACACACACACAACACACAACACACACACACACACACACACACACACACACACACATAGCGCAAGGCAGGTTCACCTACGCATTCTACATAGAACGGCCAAAATCAAGAAACATGTGATGTAACCAGCGAACATGTGATCGAACCAGCAAGCATGCTACTCTTATTCCATCCACTGTGGTGACAACTTCGCGCAGGGAAAAGGTAGGTAGGAAGGGAATAAAAAGAAAAGGAAACTTTCATCCGTTACTTTGTCAGTTTGTCAATGTACTCATCATCATAATTTTSGGGGAGCTGAGTGACAGGCGAAGATGCTCATCCCACAAAATAAGAAAGACAAAGACAAAACCTGAAGAAAAAAGAGAACACTCATGACACTCATCTGATTTTCCCCGTAATACGGGGACAAAAACGATATGTGACAATAGTTAAGACAAATGTGCGAAATGAGGAGAGTTTTGGCTGTCCCTCGTGACAGGACGAAAGAGAAAACTGAAAAAAAAAAAAAAAAAAAAAGATTCGCAGAAAAGAACAAAAAGTTCCTGAAACAAACTACCATCTTTGTTTTTTTTCAAAAGTGCCATTTTACAGAGTCCTGATCGTTACAGCAGCGCGGCATGTTGACGGCCATTGTCCCACGGATGCCTCTGGATTCAAAACAACCGATGGCCAAACATGTCACTAACTAACGTCCCAGAGGGCATGTCACTAAACCGATGGCCATGTCACCAACCGATGGTGACACTAAACCGATGGCCAAACATGTCAGTAACTAACCTCCCAGAGG